TTCCCCTCCCCCCACAACAGCTTGAGTCACGACCCTCCCAAGCACACCCCTCCCTTCCCCTCAGCCGCTCTCCCTGCAGCTCCCAGCTGTTTGCTGCTACTTCGCCCTGTGGCCGCAACTTGCAGCTCGCCACCTCCAGGAGCTGCTGCACACGGAGGCAGCACCGGGTTTATAATGGTGCCGTCACGCTGGGCCCACACTCAGACGGGGGCCATAATCCCTCCCCTTACTATTGGTGGCTGGAGCTAGGGGAGCCATACGGGGCCCTGGCACTGAGCGGAGCAGCCTCATCGGGTCTGCTGCCATTCATGTCCCCCTTCCCCGGCCTCTGCCCCCCGCTGACCAGTCGGACTCTGACTCCACCCCCACCCCCTTGGTTCTGACCCCGGGGGCTGCAAACTGAGCTGCTGGCACCTGGGCTAGTTCAGGCAGCGCCGCTCCCCACCCTGGAGCTGGGGGATGGGACGGGGATGCTGCTCTCCAAGATCAACTTGCTGGAGCACCTGTGCTCCGGGCCAGCAGGGAGCTGCAGCCAGGTGAGGCCTGGCCTGGTTTGGTTTGGAGGAGAACGGGGCGGATCGACAGCAGGGGGTGGCTCTGCAGTGGGGTACCTGAGAGCGGTGTCTGGCTGGGGATTCAGGTGGGTCCAGTTCAGGAATAGAATTTTGCGAGGAGCCCTGTTCTGATAGGCAGTGGGGAGGTTTGGGTCGAGCGGGATCGCTTCGTAGAGGGCTCTGATCTGGTTCAGGCTGGAAGGGGGGGGTCTGGTCCAGTTTTTTATTTTTAAAATTTTTTAAATCCACCCCAGTTTCACACACACATTTAATGCAAGCCCTGGTAGGTCCTGTGAGAAATGTGAAGGGTGACGGGGGAAGGTTCCCTTTTAGTGGGCGCAGCACCTGGCCGGGGCTTTGGCGTTTGTTAGCTGTTTTTACCCACTGGATTTTATTTTGTATTTTTTTCTTTTATAATTTATTTCATGTGTCTACACTTGTATCTTTTTGCCCAGGGGCTGTGTCATAACTATAAAGGGAAGGGTAACAGTTGTCCTGTGTACAATACTATAAAATCCCT